GCATGCTGAATTGTTCAAGCTACAGGGGTTATATGCTATTGGATTATACATATTTATTAGATTTCCAATACATTATTAACATATTGATATAATTTCCTGTAACTCATTAACATACGTAAATGTCCTTGATGCACATGCAATTGTTTCTGCTGGTGGTCTTTGGAGGTCTTCTGGTTGTGGTAGATAGTCTTGCCACTGTGTTCAGTGGCTGAACCCAGTTCTTGCGCATGCTCAGGTCATCTCCTTCTTCCTTATCTTAGTGTTTCAATTTAGACATGCATACTAGGCTAAGTCATTTATATATCCAAGGACCTATGCATACCATGAGTTCCTCACTGCTTCTTTTCAGACACATCCTCCAGGTCTGGGTTATCTTGCCCCCCCTCCCCGATCCTGAGATACAATTCTTCATGGTCTTACAGATAATGCTGACTAATTAGTGAGAAAGGTAGCACCAGAGATACAAAGTTTCTAGACTTCCTTCTATGTAGCTAAACATAGTAAAGGTTTGGCCTATCTGTTCATAAAATATGTCAGATTTTGTTCTATTTGTCTATCAGGGAGAGAGCCAGTCCTTCTGACTCCGTATCTGTCTAGCCATTCAAATGCCTTTTAAAATAGTCTCCATTCATAAAAATAAATAAATAAAATAAAACTTAAAAATAACAACAAAACCTATTCAAAAAGAAAATTTCTGAGATGAAAAAATATATATATATCAGGTAAATGTTTTGTTGGCCTCAGTGACCCACTCTTTTAAAACTCAAGTTGATCATTCACAAAAGGTAAATCAATGATGTGTCCAACTCCCTCTTATTATTTTCCTCTTAGGTGCCTATCTGTTATGTCTCACACTAAGTTTTTCAGGGCAGAAAATGACATTTTCTGATCATAACACAATAGGAAAATAAATGTCATTACTGCCTGCAAAGCCTACAGAAAAAAAAACGTGCTGGAAACCATCAAAGTGAAAAATCTTCATTCTGAATTATGAACTTCTTTTGGATGTGGTTTGCATGTCATCTGTTCATACAGGCAATTTATTTGCCTGAACATTTTATAGAATAATTATAGTTGAGGAAAGCCAATCTTACAGTGGTATTCAGTAATTAAACACTATTCTGAGACTAGGAAATATCATTAGAAAGAGTGTTTACTTAATTAGATATCATGTTATGTTTCAAAACAGAGAAACACAAGCAGAAACTGTTGCAAACTTGCTTGCTTGTAGGTTGATGTACTCCAATATTCAGTAAACATTCTGCTGTACAAGAAAACACTGTTTCCACAGCTCCAGAAGTTATATTTGGATGCTGAGCTGACCATGTCTTTGCACTGCAGTGGAAGGACTTTGAGTTATTTTGGTGTATTTGAGGCAAGTTTAGTTAGGACAAGAGGGAAAGAGCTGGGTTGTTTCCTTTTATTTCTTGTTGTATACCCAACAATCCAGGTGACAGGCACCTTGGTCAGTGGGTGGCATCTACAAAACACCTCAGTTCCTTTAGGTCAGTGCTTGCATAATTAGGCCAATGCTAATTTAGAGGCCAATCCTATTAACCAGATTCATTTACTACTGTCTTTAAAAAGAGCTCTAAGTGACCATATAACACTGAATTAACTGTCTATCCCAGAAGTCATCTAATTACATAATTTACAATATCATTGTTGAGTTTCTAGCATAATTCACTTGATTGCATGTTTGTTGCTACAGTGCATCAATTTGAGGAAATTTCTGTTTCCTTACTCGGGAAAACAGTTTACACTCTCAAGACCAATTTGCCAGCTGGAGCATAGTTCTTCTACAAAAGGATGCAAAGGCTCTTAGAAATATCTGAAAGCATCATCATCTCTGCATTTATACTTTCACTAGTATGTATGTCAGTGATGACACATCACAATTAACTATCTGCACGAAAGGTCCTTACTCCAAGCATCTGAGCATCTGAGGCTAGCAGAGTATGCATCTGGAGCATGTCTATGAAGGTGTTAGTTTGCCCCCTCTGTTGCTTTGAACAAGCTACTGAAGAAAAAGTGAAAAGCCCTGTGGTGATGTAAAGATGCAGGACATATATGTGACTAGCCTTAAGTAGCTAGTCACAATGGATCTCCTTTCATGGTTCTTTGGGTTCCCAGGCATGTTGTTTATTCTACCATGGTGCTCAGGGAGGGCTTGTGAGTCCAGCCCCCCCAGGAAGAGACCAGGAGATATCTTGGCATTTTTTTTCCTCCTTTTCATGGGTTTTCATCCTGGGAGGAGACAATTGTATTCCTGAACTGGTAACACAACTGTAAAGGGAGGATCATCACCTGATTGATTAATCCAGGGGGCTTTAGTGACGTGGCTGTATGTCACTTGACAATAGAGAGCAGAAGTTTGGAGAGAGATACCTGGTTCATTGAATTTAATGATAACTGTATATTTCCCTCAGTCTTACCTCCACAGTATTTTGACAGAATCATGGGTTTAGGCATTTTTATATTATTGAATAATCAGCATCTCACCTGTTGTAAATGAAAGTGGAGCAGTGTGTACCATACTGATAAAAATGCCTCACCAAACAAAAACAGGAAGGAGAGAACCTCCCTCCAATTTTTCTTTATTAAACTCATAATTTGTTGCTGGGCATGACCTGATGTTTTAAGATGTCTCCATTTCACTAACTGTTTTAAAATAAAGCACACTTGGCATAGTTTTGAAAGTCATTAATAACTGAAAAGATCCCTAGTGATATTTTTTAATCTCCTGACTTGTGCATATAGAAAAATTGTTACTGTGATCTGCAACAAATTTTGTAGTTTGATATATGAAACCCAAAGTTAATCAAATTGCTATGTCTTCACATTTGTCCTATTTATTTTGACATTCGGAGAATGTTACCACTTTTTAAACTTTGTTATAAATATTACTATCCATTTCATCAGTATAACATGACCATTTATACTGATGTATTTCAGAATGAAGAGATATGGCTTACACTCATTTGTAAACAAATGAAAATGTGCCCTGTATATTACTGAGGTCTCATTTTTGGTGGGTTTTCTTTTTTTTTTTCTTTTTTTTTTTTTTCAGCTGACTTTCAGTCTGTTGCTGCAAAAATGAAGATTTGCTATTAAAACAAACAAACAAACAAACAAACAGAAAACCTAGTATAAGTTGTCTTCCTGGCATTTGCTTAAATCATGAAAGGTCTAGTTAGTTGTTCATCTTTCAGTGGAATGCAGCTCTTTTTTTCACTAAATAGGAATTTGTTTGACCATAAAACTTAGTCCTGCAGTTTTCATCCCATTGAACATGAAGGAAAGTAAAAGTTATGCTCATTAAAGAAGATCTTGTAGGTCTAAGGTATTTCAAAGGAAACAATATATATATAAAAGTCTTTTCCAACCTAGATGATTCTGTGGTTCTGTTCTATATATTCTATATTTCATATACTTATATATGAAAAGAACGAGGAAAAAATCATTTTTTTTAAAGTCACTCTGATTCTCATGACACTTACAAAGATGGCTTAACAAAACGGACTCTATTTTACATATATAGCCAATTTAATGCTCTTACAATTCATTACAAACCTACCATTGTTAGAAAGAGATTGTCATTATTTTTGTAATAACTTTTTCTGTGTAAATATCACTCTTCTCATCCTGAGTAGGCTTGGGTGACTGGGGGAAAACAGCAAATATTTGGTAAAATTATGGTAACAGTTAAGTTAACTTAAAGAATTAGTTGAGTTATTTTTAAAAATGAATTAACCCCACTCAGAAATATACATATTTTGGTACTTATTTTAAAGGTGAGAATGGTGGAAGTTTTTCTACCAGTTCCTTATAGAGAAAAAGATGCTCTCTTGTGTCTCATTAGCTTTACCTACATTTTTGATTATGGAGGAATTAGGGGGGGGGGGGGAGAGGGGAAACAGCAATTTAACAGCTACTTTTAACAAGATTACAATCTTTACAAGCAATCTGAAGAACTGAGTGTGAGTCAATTTCAGCAGTTAACCATGGAAATCCATCTACTGAGTTTACTTATCAGGCAAGCAACTTAACAGCTCTGTGTGTCTGAAATAGCCATTTACAGATTCAAACAAACAAACAAAAACTATGTAACTCTAAACTCTCATTTCAAGTGTCTTCTAGACAAATCCTGGTTCCAGATGACAGACTGGTGCAGAATGACAGAGACAGGAAAGAGTTAGTAAGGTCCCTTCCACAAGGATTAATATTTGTAACAAGAAAGATAATTTAACTCATTCAAAAAGTAAATAGATAAGGACTCAAAGATGGGATTCTGTGTCCAGGCCTTATGATGATGTTCTTGAAGCTGGTTTCCTCCTGTTGTGTCTCAAATCTGTTAATTTTCCAGATGATGAAATTAGATTACTGGTCTCCAGGGACCACTTGGGTTGTGGCATTTTCTCTCTCTGTGTTCATTTAAAGGTGCCAAGGAAGAAAGGAAAAGAATCAGCAAGTGCATGTAGAATAATCACAGTTAAAAATAAAGGTGTGTTATTTAGCTCTAGCTTCAGGGTTATATAGGTTTTAATCAAATTGATTATATACCTTATAAAATAAAAATACACACAGATATGTATATATTTACCTAGGAGCAACGTAAAAGCAGGGACTCTTGGATCCATGAAGGGAAGCACAAATAGCCACCTCTCCTTCGGTGGCAACAGTGCCTATAATCTAAGACATTAAAATACTTTTTTTTTCCTTGTCTTACCAAGTAAAACATACAAAATACCATAGATGAGATGGAAGGCCCCTTTTCCAGCGTAGATATGCATCAAACGCACTCTGGGGCCTGTGATTTCAATGGCACTTAAAATAGAAAGTAATATTATAAAATAAATATTACAAAAATATTACAATATAACTTTATTATGGAAAGGCACCATCATTTCTCTCCATCCCAACAGCAAGTCCATAAAGGATCTCTGGCAATGAAGTGAAACTTGCTTAGAAGGCTTCCCCTACGAGTCACGTGCTTTGTCTCAGCTTTTAGGGCGGATCTTTGACGCAGGGAGTCTCTCTGAGTTGCATCGTGAGGTCTTCACACTCCTTCCTTCTAGATGGAGGATAAGGGGGCAGATGTGAAGACAGAGATGTTCCTGGTTCTCACGTGCTCACTGATTCTCCTGGCAAGCTGCTCCAGCTGCCAGCACCACACGTGCCACTGTGCAGGCAGGATTTTCATCTGTCAGGAGAGCAAGGTGGTCCAGCTTCCTCGGGACATCCCCACCAATGCCACTGAACTGTAAGTGGGGAGAGGGAAGGGTTGTGAGTAGCAGCCTTCTTGCTGGCTTTCAAAATAAACTGCTGCCAAGGATCGGGTTTGGAGGGGTCACTGGGGAAATTTACTCCAGCTGTTGGAAAAGAACAGAGCTTCCTCTGACACTCACTTAATTATGGCTTGAAGCTCTTCTCCCTCACTCTTATCGTGCTCACTTTAAAATCTCTGTTAAGAAAAGATGCAATATGGTATAATGCAAAGTGCAGAGTACATTTTAAACAGGATTCCTTGGTACTGTAACAGTAACTTGAAGTATTAAGTCTAAGCTTTCTTTACAGCTTACTCTCACATTGTCAAAACACATAGTACAACTTGTCTGCCCCAAACAACTTGGTGAGCATTTCTGTCTGTGCTGGAGGAGCTTTCAGAAGCTTTAGGCTTATTTGGCAAGAAGTAGCTTATTGTTTTCTGTTTGGAAATCATGAAGGCATTAAAGAAAGGGCTGCAATGAGGTTCAGAGAGTGACTCTCCTCTATCAGAGGAGCAGCATGACTGAGTTGAAGAGAGTGAACCTTGTAAAGATACAATATTGCGATACTCAGAGATATTTTTTTTTTTTATCTTAAAGCTTCTTTTTGTTTTCCATAAAGTAATATGAAGAACATTGTATGGCAGCTGTTTTCTGTGTCACTAGAACAGGCCAGCAAGAAAACTCATGCAATGTCAAGCACATAACTGTGCAAGTGATTGTTTTCTTTTTTCTTTTTTTTTTTTAAAGCAATTTATATTGCCCATTGTCTACACCCACAGGTGTCTGGCATCATTAGGACCTAACACAAAAAAATGAAAGGAGTCATCCTTGATAAACCCTGTTATTAATAACTAGAGAGGCAAGTTTGGAGGGAGGACACAAGGAGGAATTATATGTCCCTAGCTGAAAAATATGTCTCTATAAATATGTCCGTATCCTGACCTTACAGACCATATATATCCTTGGTTAACGTCCCACAGTTTTCCTAGCACAGAAGTTTTGTTTCATTCAGAAGGAGTAGTCATTATGCTCACTGAATAAGCAGGCTGTGGTGAAAACTTGAGAAAAATGCCTGAATTAACCACATAAGGTCAGTAAAAGTTTAAATCATTCTCTCAACTAGAGGGAAAAATAATCCATCTGTAATTTGTGTCATCTAAATCTTGGGTGAATTGTGCTCCAGGCACAATAATTTTGTTTAATTTTGCTTTGATTGTTTCATTAGATTAGACAGGTAAGGGTTGCCTTCCAGGGATTAAAAAAAAAAAGAAAAAAAAAAGAAAAAAAAACTTTATTTTTGCAAAGAAGTAGAATTTTAAATCACCAAAACCCCTGCTAGTAAAATGGGGTTTGTTTCCAGTAGATCCTTGTTAACTTCTCTAGGGTTTTTTCATGTTGCTAATGTGCTGGTTCTTTGGCACAACCATGTGCTCCCTGAGACAGGCTGACTACAACATGATGTGACTGTAAAAAGCAGCTGAATTCTTTCTTCTTGCAGTGTTGTATAAATATTGCAGTTTGAATCTCTTGACTTGACTCTCTTCCCATTTACACCAACTTTTGTTTCCTTAGGGGGCAATTTTTGTCCTGTTAAATCACTATAGCCCTGGAATTAATTTTAGTATACCTTAAGAATTTGTCTGTGAAAACTCTGTAGACTCTAGTGTTAATGTGGCAAAAAAAAAAAAACAGATGCATTAGCTGAGGAGTTTTAAAGTAACAGATAAACCTTAGATCTTCATTCAAAGGTGTTTTCCTAAACTGAGTACCCAGTGGGTTGTTTCAGCTGACTGAAACAGACTTTGCCACTCCAGATGCTGTTGCAAATGCACTGTTGGTAGCAGCAGAGAATAAGATCTCTTCATGTTTCTTCCAAACACCTCAAGGAGTCAAAAGGGCTTTTAAACCAGTGTAGCAACGTGAGTGTAGATGACAGTGGCATCTAAGGATCCTCTGCACATGCGCACAGATTTCTCCCTGCCAAGCACAGCTCCTGCAAGGTGCGTTTTTCACTTAAGAACTCTTTCTGAACGTGCTGGATATGGTTTATGGTTAGACATACCTGTGTGTGTCTGTGTTATTCAGTATTCTCGGTGCTCTTCACCTTCTATGAGAAGGTGGTCTAGACAGCTTTCCTAAGCCTAGTGCCATTTAAATGATGAAAAACATGCCCATGAAAGCATTGGAGAGAGAACAGAATAAGTCTCAAGCACTTCTGTTTCTGTGTGTTTCTGTTTCACTAAAGATGTTTAAGTTGGGACTGTGTATGTGGCATTACTAAGTACTATGTTAGTAAAAAATCTCAGTATAAAAACATTGTCCTCACAGAACCACCATCTGTATGCTGTACAGCAGCACAAAGTTCACACTCTTGATACAAGAGCTGGGGCTCTGCTCCTGACTGGATCAGCACCTGCTTTGGCAAGGGTGGCACAAAGGGAAGAGGGGTTTGATATAAGTAGGTACTGAAATGACTGTGAGAAATACATATATCTGTGACTTAAAGTACTGGAGACAAGTCACGAGAAAAAGGAGGCCAAAAGTTGAGATGGAAAGCTTAGGATCATTTGTGTCAGTGTATTATTAATCACCATGGGGGGAGGGAGGCTCAACTAATTATGGCAGTTCACTCCTTGAAGATTTAAAACAGTTTTTAGGGGTCACTGTTAATCTTAGCAGTCCATTCTTATTCACTGAGATTTTATTTAGTCATTTATTTTATTTAGTCATTTATATAGTCATTTAGTCATTTATTTAGTCATCTTAACTAGAGAAAGTAACATAAACAAAAATAACTTGTTCTCAGAATAGAAGGGATCTTTCCTAAGACTTAGCAAACTACTTTAAGCAGAAATACATAAATTTCAACTGGGAATCAACTAGAAATGCCAGGAAAAGCTTACTCATCTCTTACAGCACCCTTTCTTGCTTTTGGGTTTCTCATCTGAGAAGAGCCTTAAACCATTCTTACCCCAGGGAAATAGGGAGCAGTACACAGCAGTTAGGGGCACTCATGTGGGCAGTATAATATACCTCTTTGACAAAATAAAGCGTCAGTACAAGGCAGTTTTGTAAGGGAAGTGGGAGAAGGCTGTGTGTCCAATTCTACTTGCAGTTGGCAGAGTTATTAGTGAGAGAAATACCAATATCAGTGTTTAATCTGCATCCTGTAATTAATGCTATTATTAAAAAGTACTATGAAATCAAATTTGGTCATACTGCTTTCATTATAAAGAGAAACTGTCTCCAACTCATTTAATTTCCTGATTTGCTGCTGCTCCTAAAGGTTGCTGTTTTGACAATTAATTCTCCTTAGCTGATACAAAAGTGAAGCAGCCCACAGCAGCAGGGAGATGTGGACCAGTAGATACCTTCTGCTTCCCTGTATTCAACACCATGGAGATTTTGTAAGAAACATCTCTTGAGAATGGAGGCTCTCAAAGAAAGCTTGCAAATATGTCACTCAGATAATTAAAAGTTCCCTTGTGAGCAATAGTTTAAAGTGTCAGCAAGCCAGAGGCTTCAGCAGGGGAATGGTGCCAGTTTTGGAAAGGAGCAAATAAGGTGATTGAAATAATTGACAACAGAAATGGTCAATCATTTTGCACCCATACAAATGCTGCCTGAGAGAGAGGAAAATTGCAGGTAAAACAAATAAGGCCTAGGACTGGTCATATGGTGTTTTGTATTTTACAGTACCTTCACCAGCTTCACTAACCAGTTCAGCCATTGATGGAGCAGTTTGGATGTATGTTATGCAGAAGATTTTCTCCCAAGAATCTGCAAACTATAAACAGTGGTATTTTTTCTTGCCCTTTGCATAGGTGTTTTTGTACAACTGCTCAAGGATATTTATTTTAGACTATCAAGTCAAGGCTGGGTAGATGTCTGCCCACTAGAACAGTGGCTGCCTTGAAATAGCAAGTTCTTTGTTATGAACTAAATGAGTCAGATGTACTTCCCCGAGACACAAGCTACAAATGATGTGAACAGTAGCTGCAATGCTGTCATTGACAGCTGCAATTAGAATTTTTTATGCTTTCACACATACAGTTGAAAGCACATTGAAACCTGCAAGCAATTACAGCTCTTACTCAGATGTTTATACTGGAGTACTAACCTTAATATAAGACAGACAGGGTGATGAAGACAAGCTAATGAAATGAAGACCCATGAAGCTGTCAAATACATATGTTACAGTAGTTAATTATATAGTTAATCAATAAATCCATGCATTATCAGAAAGGGATGGAAAATATTTGCACTGCAGAGCACATTCAGAGTATATTGCATGCTAAGACTCTCTTTTCCCTTTTAACCAGCGTTGCTTCTGCTATCAGTGTAGGGAAGAAAAAAAAAAAAAAAAGAAAAAAAAAAAAAAGTCTGCAGTGTTAAATTCTTCTCTTTTCAAATTTATGACCAGTTCAGACTTTGAAGCAGAAAGCTATAGAACTTGGTGTATGATCGCTGGCTGTATATTGCCTGAGAGGTCCAATGCTTATGTTGGATTCTGTATTTGACATTTTCACTGTGAGGATAAAAAGAAATAAGCAGAGCATAACAGAGAATAAAGAAAAGCCCAAGGAAGGAAGTGACACTAAAGAAGGATAATAAACTCTGCAGGGCAGATCCTCAGCTAGTATAAATCGCCAAGGGTATATCTCTATAGAAACATCCAGCTTCTACAGCTTTAGAAGCATTTTAAGATGAGGCGGTGCCCTGTGTGCAATACGAGGGGCTTTGTGCTGCAACACACTCTGCTGGATTACTCATTGTACTGTGGCAATAAATACATATGCGTGACTTTCACCTGACTTACAGTGACTGAGATGTATGATCCAGTCTGAAGATGGATCGGTGTGTGCATGTATCTTTGAAATGATTCATATTCATGTAATGTATCTTTGAAATGAAAGTGCATTCACTTAAAATGTAATGACATGTATATGACTTGTTAAATCAGTAAGCTCTTTCCGGGGAAACACAGTGAAGG